GAATGAATACTTAGTGAACATTTTTATGTTTTAATATTATATTAAAGGGTATATCGATATTTAAAGTGTTCTAAATTTGAAAGTATATTTTGTAATATATATTTATCGATTGATAACGATGCGACAAAAATTATGACGATTGAAATAGATTCGATGACAATCGATAACTATATTTTATTGATTATTACCTTATTATCGATTTGCATCGATATTTAATATATATTGATTATAAACCTGTTTATCGATATATATCGTTAATTTGCAAATAATATATATCGATTAAATGCTATATATCGATTAATTTCTGTAAAAAAAATTTCCCGATGATAGTGGCTTCAGATTTTCTTCATTATATATAAAACTTGTAGCTGTATCTGTAACTGCTTTTTGTCATTCTATACTTAAAGAGATTATAGAATATTTGAAAAGTTTAGGATATACAATAATTTATAGAGATACTAATTTGATATTTTATATAATCCTGATTGTTTATTTAAAAGAATTAATATATAAAAAAGAAAAGATTAAACAAATAATAGAAATCTCTTTAAAACTTGAAAAACAAGTTAATGAATATTTAATTTCAAGAAAAAAAAATTTTATTCAAATGTCTTATGAAAAAACTTTATATCTATATGTATTTTTTAAAAAAAAAACATTATTGTGGATATGTATATAAAAAAAAACAGAACTTGAATAACCAAAATTATTCTTAAAAAGATTAAAAGTAAAAAAACAAAATACATCAGAATTTAATAAACAAATTGGAAAAGAGATGATTTGAAGGATATTAGGATTTAATAAAGAAAAAATATTAACAAATAATACTCAAGATTCTAAAGAAGTTATTTTAGATATTATTAAAAAATATATTCAAATAACACACAATATTAATTTATTTACATTGAATACGAATTATAAACTAACTAAAGATATTAGAGCACAAGATTTTATTATTCAAAAAAATAAAAAAAAAAATTAATTTAAGTAAAATGAAACAAAAAACAAAAAGAAAAAGAGGAAATATAATGGTACTTGATTTTGTTCAAAAAAGAATTGATAATGATAATACAATAGATCCAGGAAGATTTTTTTATTATATTTTAAATCTTGATTATAAAAATATAGGATATAAAATTTGCTTAGTTAACGAATTCGATCCTAATAAATATGAGATAGATTTGCTTTATTATCTAAAAAGTTCAAAAAATTTATGTAAAAGTTTTTTTCATATAAAAAAAAAGAAGCTGAAAAAATAATAATTTCTTTGTATAAAGAAATTACTGATAAATTAAATCAAACTAAGATAGATAATAATTTAAATATAAATTTAAAAGTAGAAAAAGGAAGTAGTAATAATTACTTTAAATGAAGAGAGAAGAAAATCAAGAATTAAGAAAAAAAATAAAAGTAAATAGTAAAATCACAGATTTTTTTTTTAAAAAATAACTAATCAGTATAAATACCAATTAGTTTTTTAAAAAATTAAATTTAAAATAGAAAAAACAAATATTAATCAATTATCAGATGAAACATTTTGTGAAATATTTTTTTATCTAATATCTGAGAAGATAACTTTCTTAGAAAGATACCTTGTTCATTTAAAATTTGTTTCTAAATGTTTTTATCATCTTTACTATGAAGTTTTTAAAAAATATTTCAAAGCAAAATATATTAAATATGAATTAGTTAAACAATATAATTCATATATATATTCACCTCCAGAAACAGTACCATAGAAACTATGTTATACTAAAAAAAATATTTGGGTTAATTTTGAATTTGAAGGAAAATGGTATTATCATTACTTACAACAAAATACAAAAAAAAAATTTTTTATTAATATACAAAGAATTGGTAGTAAATATTTTAATTTTATTACACAAGAAGATAAAAAAATATATAAAAATTTGTAGAAAATATGCTGCCAAAACATATTGTGCTAGTTATGATTTTGTACAACTAGAAATTCTTTTTTGATATTTAATTAAGAAGTTTAAGTAGTGCTCATTATACTTGGAGTAAATACATTCAATATTTTAATATTCAATTATGTTTTTTTGTAGCATATTATTTAAATATAAATCATATATTGATTTACAAGTACTATCAACTTTTTATATTTAGTTTGAAAGTTATAAATATAATAATTTTTTTTATTTAATTGATTTATTAAAATAGAAAAATATATTATTTTTAATTCTAATATTCTTCTTATAAATAAATATATCAAAATAAATAATTATTTAAACCAATATCAACAAACTACGAAACAAATTATAAATTATTTACAAACAAAAATATTTAATTTAGAAGAATTCAATCAAATATTAAACTTGATTAAAAAAATAAACAAATATAAAGAATTCAGTTTTAATATAAAATATGAATATATGTTTAATATTGAATTTATGGATGATGATTTTATAATTTTTACTGAAACTGTAATTAAAAATGAAAAAACTTTATTTATAAGAGAACATATATTTTATTCTAGTTAGTCTTTTTTTAAACAATCTAGTTTTTTTTTTAATATAAAAAAATAGATCAAGAAATGAAAACTTTAATTACTTTAATTCATAGTGTTGTCAGTAGTTCTTTTACTGAAGATATTAATGAGGCAGGACATTATTAACAGAAAAGATTTACTATTTGAAGAAGAAAAAAAAGTTTTTCTTAGTAATTTCAACATATACATTCTGGTTTATACAAATAAAAACAATTATTTAATTTCATTTTTAAATATCTAAATATCATTACTAATATTATTAATAATATTAAAAATTCAAGTAACAAGAAACAATTAGCCGATTATTTGGACTTGTTATATGAAACGCATGTTTTAGAACTTACTGAAGAAGATTTTGATAATTAGTTATTTATTTAATAAATATATATTATTTTATTTAATACTTTACTTATAAAAAAATCATGTTAGCGATTTTTTCACTTGATCTTAGTCCAAATTAGCTTTGAAAGGATGTATTGCATACCAAACCAGCATTTATGCAATGCTAAAACAGCAGTTAATGGTAGCATACGCTACTAAAATTAGTAATTATCATCATAATATTAACTAGTTTAAAAAGCTAGGTATTTTGATAATATAAAAATAATAAATATAGAGAAAAAAGTTTTAAAAATAGATATTCTGTTTAATTAAATTATATTCTTCCAAAAACTATTAACCAAGCAATAAACTTTGGTAAAATAACAAATATAAAAATATATGAGCAGAAGAAGAAGAAAATAAACCACCAAAATACTTCATAGTAAAAATTACAACAACAATTTCTACAAAAGTGTCTAATATTTTTAACTATGAATTTTAAAAATTTATAAAAATAAATAAATATCAATGAAAATAAATAACTAATTCTAGTTAAACTAAACCAAATTCCTAATAAAATAGTTAATATTAAATTTTTAAATATATGTATTATTGTATTTAAAGTTAAAATAAAAAAAAGTATTTTAAAAAAATAAAGAATAAATCTTTCATTTGAAAGTATACAAACAATATTAGTTTCTTGAATATGGCAACAAATATTCCAAAAATAATAAGTATGAAAACTTTCAAGAATAAGTTTATACTATAGTACTATTTTTCAAATATATAATTTATTAGTTTTTTTTGTTGATAAAAATTTTTCAAATTCATTTTTAAATAATGAAAAATAATCAATTAAAGTTGAAAGTTTTTTAATTTCAGTTGAAAGTTTATATTTAGGAATATCAATTGATATTGTTATATTATTTTCTTTTAAACTCTTTATTTTTATTAAAAGTTGTTTATTTATAAGACTTAATTCTTTATTTTCTATTTGTAATTGTATATAATTAGTTTTGATAATCTAAAAGTTGATTTTTTAGTTCTTCAATTTCATCTTGTAGTTCTTTGTTAATTATTGATAAGTCATTATTTTCAATTTTAAGGTCATTATTTATTTTATTCAAATTAATTAATCTTTTAAATAAAAAACTTGTTATCATTTTAATTTATTTCAAAAAGTAAAAAATAAAAACAATATTTATATAAAAAAATTAAAAATAAAATTTATAAAAGAAAACAAATAAATTTAAAAATCTAATAATAGAACCTATAATACCAATTATTATTTTATTAAAGTTATATAAGATTTTTCTTTTATTTCATTAGGAATATAATCAATAAATTTTTCTCTATATTTTTCAATAAGTTTTTGAATTTTATCAATAAGTTCTTTAACTTGAATATCTGTAAGTTTACTAACTAATTCTTTTATTTTATCAAATACAAGTGATTGCCTTTTCACTTCTAGTTTATCACGAACAGTATCTTTTGATAAAAGATTTTTAATATATTCTTTTAAATGTAGTTTGATTTCATTTTCTTTGAATTCATTTTTACAGATTGGACAACTAATAAAATTAATCTTTGGGGTTGATAAAGTTGTTATTATAGGTATTGGTTTTACAGAAAAAGGTTTAATAGTTGAAGTTATTGGTTTACTTGTTGTAGATATTTCTGTTATTATAAATTTTGAAAAATTAGTTGGTCTTGGTGGAGATGTATTAATTGTTGTAGTTGAAGTATTAATTGTTGTTGTGGGTGTATTAATTGTTGTAGTTGGAATATTAATTGTTGTTGTAGGAATATTAATAGTTGTAGTTGGAGTATTAATTGTTGTTGTGAGTAGTTGTTTGTTTTCATCATCTTCAGATGAAGAAATTGGTGTTGGATTTGATTTATCTGTATTATTTCTTAAATATTAATTAATTAAATAAATAAATAAAACAAATAACAATAATAAAATATTTACTTTTTCTTTTGATGTTCTTCAGCATCTTCTTCAAGTTTTTATTTTAATTCATTAATTTGATCTCCTAATCTTGTAATAGCTAAAGCAGAATTTTGATTAAGATCAATCTATCTATATATTTGATTTAATTCTAATACAGTTGCACAAGATCCTCTTAAAAACCCAGCTTCACGTTCTGGTACAAAAACAGTATCAAGATTATATCTAGATACTTCATCTTGATCACTCATATATTTTAAATATCTTAATGATTCATTAATATCCATTGCTGTTATTAACCAAAAGAATCCAGTATTAAATTGTATAAAGGCACTTTTTTATATATTAAATATATGGGTAATACACCATTGTTTTTCAATTTTCTATGTAAAACAGAATATTTTTTCATAATCACATTTTGAACAATTAATTTGTTTAATTTTATCAAATACAATATTATAATTTCTTCAAATTGGACTATTAATTAAATCATTAAGATATTTAAAATATATGAGTGATCAAGATGAAGTATCTAGATATAATCTTGATACTGTTTTTGTACCAGAACGTGAAGCTGGGTTTTTAAGAGGATCTTGTGCAACTGTATTAGAATTAAATCAAATATATAGATAGATTGATCTTAATCAAAATTCTGCTTTAGCTATTACAAGATTAGGAGATCAAATTAATGAATTAAAATAAAAACTTGAAGAAGATGCTGAAGAACATCAAAAGAAAAAGTAAATATTTTATTATTGTTATTTGTTTTATTTATTTATTTAATTAATTAATATTTAAGAAATAATACAGATAAATCAAATCCAACACCAATTTCTTCATCTGAAGATGATGAAAACAAACAACTACTCACAACAACAATTAATACTCCAACTACAACTATTAATATTCCTACAACAACAATTAATATTCCAACTACAACAATTAATACACCCACAACAACAATTAATACTTCAACTACAACAATTAATACATCTCCACCAAGACCAACTAATTTTTCAAAATTTATAATAACAGAAATATCTACAACAAGTAAACCAATAACTTCAACTATTAAACCTTTTTCTGTAAAACCAATACCTATAATAACAACTTTATCAACCCCAAAGATTAATTTTATTAGTTGTCCAATCTGTAAAAATGAATTCAAAGAAAATGAAATCAAACTACATTTAAAAGAATATATTAAAAATCTTTTATCAAAAGATACTGTTCGTGATAAACTAGAAGTGAAAAGGCAATCACTTGTATTTGATAAAATAAAAGAATTAGTTAGTAAACTTACAGATATTCAAGTTAAAGAACTTATTGATAAAATTCAAAAACTTATTGAAAAATATAGAGAAAAATTTATTGATTATATTCCTAATGAAATAAAAGAAAAATCTTATATAACTTTAATAAAATAATAATTGGTATTATAGGTTCTATTATTAGATTTTTAAATTTATTTGTTTTCTTTTATAAATTTTATTTTTAATTTTTTTATATAAATATTGTTTTTATTTTTTACTTTTTGAAATAAATTAAAATGATAACAAGTTTTTTATTTAAAAGATTAATTAATTTGAATAAAATAAATAATGACCTTAAAATTGAAAATAATGACTTATCAATAATTAACAAAGAACTACAAGATGAAATTGAAGAACTAAAAAATCAACTTTTAGATTATCAAAACTAATTATATACAATTACAAATAGAAAATAAAGAATTAAGTCTTATAAATAAACAACTTTTAATAAAAATAAAGAGTTTAAAAGAAAATAATATAACAATATCAATTGATATTCCTAAATATAAACTTTCAACTGAAATTAAAAAACTTTCAACTTTAATTGATTATTTTTCATTATTTAAAAATGAATTTGAAAAATTTTTATCAACAAAAAAAACTAATAAATTATATATTTGAAAAATAGTACTATAGTATAAACTTATTCTTGAAAGTTTTCATACTTATTATTTTTGGAATATTTGTTGCCATATTCAAGAAACTAATATTGTTTGTATACTTTCAAATGAAAGATTTATTCTTTATTTTTTTAAAATACTTTTTTTTATTTTAACTTTAAATACAATAATACATATATTTAAAAATTTAATATTAACTATTTTATTAGGAATTTGGTTTAGTTTAACTAGAATTAGTTATTTATTTTCATTGATATTTATTTATTTTTATAAATTTTTAAAATTCATAGTTAAAAATATTAGACACTTTTGTAGAAATTGTTGTTGTAATTTTTACTATGAAGTATTTTGGTGGTTTATTTTCTTCTTCTTCTGCTCATATATTTTTATATTTGTTATTTTACCAAAGTTTATTGCTTGGTTAATAGTTTTTGGAAGAATATAATTTAATTAAACAGAATATCTATTTTTAAAACTTTTTTCTCTATATTTATTATTTTTATATTATCAAAATACCTAGCTTTTTAAACTAGTTAATATTATGATGATAATTACTAATTTTAGTAGCGTATGCTACCATTAACTGCTGTTTTAGCATTGCATAAATGCTGGTTTGGTATGCAATACATCCTTTCAAAGCTAATTTGGACTAAGATCAAGTGAAAAAATCGCTAACATGATTTTTTTATAAGTAAAGTATTAAATAAAATAATATATATTTATTAAATAAATAACTAATTATCAAAATCTTCTTCAGTAAGTTCTAAAACATGCGTTTCATATAACAAGTCCAAATAATCGGCTAATTGTTTCTTGTTACTTGAATTTTTAATATTATTAATAATATTAGTAATGATATTTAGATATTTAAAAATGAAATTAAATAATTGTTTTTATTTGTATAAACCAGAATGTATATGTTGAAATTACTAAGAAAAACTTTTTTTTCTTCTTCAAATAGTAAATCTTTTCTGTTAATAATGTCCTGCCTCATTAATATCTTCAGTAAAAGAACTACTGACAACACTATGAATTAAAGTAATTAAAGTTTTCATTTCTTGATCTATTTTTTTATATTAAAAAAAAAACTAGATTGTTTAAAAAAAGACTAACTAGAATAAAATATATGTTCTCTTATAAATAAAGTTTTTTCATTTTTAATTACAGTTTCAGTAAAAATTATAAAATCATCATCCATAAATTCAATATTAAACATATATTCATATTTTATATTAAAACTGAATTCTTTATATTTGTTTATTTTTTTAATCAAGTTTAATATTTGATTGAATTCTTCTAAATTAAATATTTTTGTTTGTAAATAATTTATAATTTGTTTCGTAGTTTGTTGATATTGGTTTAAATAATTATTTATTTTGATATATTTATTTATAAGAAGAATATTAGAATTAAAAATAATATATTTTTCTATTTTAATAAATCAATTAAATAAAAAAAATTATTATATTTATAACTTTCAAACTAAATATAAAAAGTTGATAGTACTTGTAAATCAATATATGATTTATATTTAAATAATATGCTACAAAAAAACATAATTGAATATTAAAATATTGAATGTATTTACTCCAAGTATAATGAGCACTACTTAAACTTCTTAATTAAATATCAAAAAAGAATTTCTAGTTGTACAAAATCATAACTAGCACAATATGTTTTGGCAGCATATTTTCTACAAATTTTTATATATTTTTTTATCTTCTTGTGTAATAAAATTAAAATATTTACTACCAATTCTTTGTATATTAATAAAAAATTTTTTTTTTGTATTTTGTTGTAAGTAATGATAATACCATTTTCCTTCAAATTCAAAATTAACCCAAATATTTTTTTTAGTATAACATAGTTTCTATGGTACTGTTTCTGGAGGTGAATATATATATGAATTATATTGTTTAACTAATTCATATTTAATATATTTTGCTTTGAAATATTTTTTAAAAACTTCATAGTAAAGATGATAAAAACATTTAGAAACAAATTTTAAATGAACAAGGTATCTTTCTAAGAAAGTTATCTTCTCAGATATTAGATAAAAAAATATTTCACAAAATGTTTCATCTGATAATTGATTAATATTTGTTTTTTCTATTTTAAATTTAATTTTTTAAAAAACTAATTGGTATTTATACTGATTAGTTATTTTTTAAAAAAAAAATCTGTGATTTTACTATTTACTTTTATTTTTTTTCTTAATTCTTGATTTTCTTCTCTCTTCATTTAAAGTAATTATTACTACTTCCTTTTTCTACTTTTAAATTTATATTTAAATTATTATCTATCTTAGTTTGATTTAATTTATCAGTAATTTCTTTATACAAAGAAATTATTATTTTTTCAGCTTCTTTTTTTTTATATGAAAAAAACTTTTACATAAATTTTTTGAACTTTTTAGATAATAAAGCAAATCTATCTCATATTTATTAGGATCGAATTCGTTAACTAAGCAAATTTTATATCCTATATTTTTATAATCAAGATTTAAAATATAATAAAAAAATCTTCCTGGATCTATTGTATTATCATTATCAATTCTTTTTTGAACAAAATCAAGTACCATTATATTTCCTCTTTTTCTTTTTGTTTTTTGTTTCATTTTACTTAAATTAATTTTTTTTTTTATTTTTTTGAATAATAAAATCTTGTGCTCTAATATCTTTAGTTAGTTTATAATTCGTATTCAATGTAAATAAATTAATATTGTGTGTTATTTGAATATATTTTTTAATAATATCTAAAATAACTTCTTTAGAATCTTGAGTATTATTTGTTAATATTTTTTCTTTATTAAATCCTAATATCCTTCAAATCATCTCTTTTCCAATTTGTTTATTAAATTCTGATGTATTTTGTTTTTTTACTTTTAATCTTTTTAAGAATAATTTTGGTTATTCAAGTTCTGTTTTTTTTTATATACATATCCACAATAATGTTTTTTTTTTAAAAAATACATATAGATATAAAGTTTTTTCATAAGACATTTGAATAAAATTTTTTTTTCTTGAAATTAAATATTCATTAACTTGTTTTTCAAGTTTTAAAGAGATTTCTATTATTTGTTTAATCTTTTCTTTTTTATATATTAATTCTTTTAAATAAACAATCAGGATTATATAAAATATCAAATTAGTATCTCTATAAATTATTGTATATCCTAAACTTTTCAAATATTCTATAATCTCTTTAAGTATAGAATGACAAAAAGCAGTTACAGATACAGCTACAAGTTTTATATATAATGAAGAAAATCTGAAGCCACTATCATCGGGAAATTTTTTTTACAGAAATTAATCGATATATAGCATTTAATCGATATATATTATTTGCAAATTAACGATATATATCGATAAACAGGTTTATAATCAATATATATTAAATATCGATGCAAATCGATAATAAGGTAATAATCAATAAAATATAGTTATCGATTGTCATCGAATCTATTTCAATCGTCATAATTTTTGTCGCATCGTTATCAATCGATAAATATATATTACAAAATATACTTTCAAATTTAGAACACTTTAAATATCGATATACCCTTTAATATAATATTAAAACATAAAAATGTTCACTAAGTATTCATTC